TCCGCTGAAGTTGGCGGCGCCGATGGCAAGCCAGTTCGACAGCTCCGAGGAGTCCAGAAACAGCATCAAGGGCAGTGCCGCGAAGAAGTGGGCCCTGACGAAGAACGTCGCGAAGGCGGTGGCTAGGAGCACGGAAGGAGGAGGAAGAAGAGGGGGAGGATGCTGATGACGCTGCTGCTGATGATGATACTCATGATGTTGATGATGATGATGCTGATGATGATGATGATGATGATGATGATGATGTAGATGACGATGCTTATGCTGATGGTGATGAGTCTGATGCTGATGGCGATTATGATGATGATGCTAATCAAGATGCTGATGATGCTGATGATGACGCCGATGCCGATGATGACGATGCTGATGATGATGACGATGCTGATGATGATGATGATGATGATGATGATGCTGATGACCACGATGATGCTGATGACGCTGATGATGATGATGATCATGCTGCTGCTGATGATGCTGGTGCATATGATGATGGTTATGATGCTGATTAGGATGCTGATGATGCTGATGATGGCGATGTTGCTGATGATGATTATGATAATGCTGATGATGATAATGATGATGATGCTGATGATGCTGCTGCTGCTGCTGCTGATGATGAGGATAATGCTGATCACGATGATGATGATGCTGATGATGATGCTGATGAGTATGGTGGTGGTGGTGGTGGTGGCATGAGAATGGTGATGCTGATGATGGTGGTGATGAGGACGAGGACGATGATGATGATAATGCTGATCATGATGATGCTGATGATGATGACAATGCTGCTGATGATGCTGCTGATTATGATGATGCTGGCGCTGCTGCTGCTGATGATGATGCTGACGATGCTGCTCATGATGATGACGGCGATGCTGATGATGATTCTGACGCTGCCGCGGATTGTGATGATGATGATGATGATGAGGGTGGTGATGATGACGACCATGTTGATGGTGATGATGATGATGATGATGATGATGATGATGATGATGATGCTGAGGATGCTGATGATGATGATGATGATGATGGTGGTGGTGGTGGTGGTGATGATCATGGGGATGGTGTCGATGAGGATGCTGATGCTGATGCTGATGATGGTGGTGGTGGTGGTGTTTTGGTGACGGTGGCGATGATGATGATGGTGATGGTGGGGACGGTGGCGATGATGATGCTGACGACGATGATGACGATGACGGTGATGATGATGCTGCTGCTGATGATCATAATTCGTCTGCTGATGATGATGATCATGCTCATGATAAGTATGCCGCTGCTGAGGATGCCCTTGCTGATGATGGGAATGATAATGAGGATGCTGATGCTGCTGCTGATGATGACGGCGATGCTGCTGCTGCGGATGATGAGTATGTTTATGATGTGGATGCGGCTGCTGCTGGTACCGATGCTGATTATGACGATGATGATGATGATGACGATGACGACGATTACGACGATGCTGCCGACGAGGATGAGGAGGATGATGCTCCTGATGATGCTGATGACGTCGGCCACGGTGATGATGATGCTGATGCGGATGATGCTGCTGGTGATGCTGATGATGATGCTGATTATGATATGATGATGATGACGGAGATGGTGGTGGTGGTGGTGATGGTGATGATGATGAAGACGGCGACGGTGATGGTGATGCTGATGCGGGTGATGATGATGATGCTGCTGATGATGATGATGACGATAATGATTATGATTATGATGATGACGATGAGAATGAGGACGACGATGATGACGTTGCTGACGATGATGCTGATGCTGATGTCGATGCTGTCGATGCTGCTTCTGGTCCTGCTGTTGCTGATGTTGATGAGGGGAAGGATGATGATGCTGATGATGATGGTGATTGATGATGCTGATGCTGGTGCTGATGATGACGCTTATGCTGATGCTTGTGGTGATCATGACGGCCACGAGGATGATGACGATGATGATGACGATGAGGATGATGGGGATGATGATGACGATGATGATGATGGTGATGCTTATGCTGATGATGATGCTGATGATGATGATGCTGCTGCCGCTGGTGATGGCGATGATGCTGCTGCTGATGGCGATGGCGACGATGTTGCTGATGGTGATGACGGTGATGATGATGATGCTGATGATGATCAAGTCGATGATGATGTTGATGATGATGCTGATACTGATGATGATGATGGTGATGCTGATCATGATGATGATGATGCGGATGATGACGATGATGATGATGCTGCTGATGATGATGATGATGATGAGGGTACTGACGATAGCGATGATATTGCTGACGATGCTGCTGATGCTGTTGATGCTGACGATGATAATGTTGCTACTAGTGGTGCTGCCGACGACGACGATTATGATGATGCTGATGCTGATGCTGGTGATGATGATGATGATGATGATGATGCTGATGCTGCTGATGGTGATGATGCTGATGATGATGATGATGATGATGATGATGATGATGATGATGATGATGATGATTGACGATGGTTATGATGATGCTGATGCCGATGTTGGCGATGGTGATGATGATGATGCTGCTGTTGATGATGATGGTGGTGGTGATGATGGTGATGATGATGACGATGATGCTGATGATGGTGAGATGATGAGGATGATGACGAGGACGATGCTGATAATGATGATGATGATGAGGAGGAGGAGGTGGAGGAGGAGGAGGAGGGCGAGGACAATGAGGAACATGATGACGAGGAGAAAGAGGACGAGGAGGACGAGGAGGTTGAGGAGGAGGGATGGGGAGGAGGTGGAGGAGGGGAGAGTTGGAGTAGTGGGAGGGATGAGGTGAGGAGGATGAGGAAAAGACTTGTATTGGACTCATGGGCTTGACAGGAGGGGGGAAATGATACGAGAAGGATAGGGGGTGGGAGGGAATGAAGGGATGCGAGGGGCAGGGAAGATGGAGGAGGAAGATGAGTTGGAGGGAGGAGGTGGAGAAAGGGAGGCAGGTTGAGAAGGGAGGGGATGAGATTTAGGAAAGCCCAGAGTGAGGAGTGATGATGATGGCGATGGTGGTGGTGATGATTCTGATGATGATTGTGATGCTGGTAATGTTAATGATGATGATGCTTCTGCTGCCGCTTATGATGGTGATGATGATGATGATGATGATGATCATGATGATGATGATGACCCCGATGATGCTGATACTGCTGATGTCGCTGGTGGCAGTACTACTTAATTCCGTGATGACAGTGATGATGATGGTGATGTTGGTGATGGTGGTGGCGCTGATGGTAATGGTAGTGGTGGTGGTGGTGGTGATGACGATTGCGATGACGATTGCGATGACGACTGCGACGACGATGATGATGACGAGGATAATGATGAGGATGAAGATGTTGAATATTTTTATGAAGATGATGATTATGATGATGCTGATGCTGATGATGATGCAGCTACCGACGACGACGATGACAATGATACTGATAATGATGATGATGATGATGATGATGATGATGATGATGATGAGGATGAGGATGCTGCTGCTGCTGCTGCTGATGATGATGATGATGATGATGATGATGATGATGATGATGATGATGTCGATCATGAAAATAACGATAATTATGATGCTGATGATGATGCTGATCATGTTGGTGATGGTTTCGGTGGTTAGGGTGAGGATAGATGCTGATGATGATGCTGCCCCCTCGTCCTTCCCTCCTAGACCGTACAGGTTTCAACTGGACGGTTCAGATCCCAACTGGGCGTTTCAGATTCCAACCGGTATTAAAACCGGAACGGTCCAGATCCCAACCGTTTGAAGCGCTTGGAAGGCGCTACCTAGGCGCTTGATAGGCGCTTCACAGGCGCTTCCTTGAAGGCCCCTCCTCGGCTTCGTGCAGGATTCCCTTGGGTTCTTTCTTTGATACGGCTTTCGGAGGATTCCGTGGAGATTCCTGAGGGATTCCTGGGGGATCCTTCAGGATTCTTGAAAAATCTGGGAGGTTTCCAGAGGAATGCCTGAAGGCATTCTTCAGGATTCTTGAGAATTCATAAGATTCCCAAGGGAATTCTCCAGGGTTCTGGAGGTTTCCCGAGGATGACTGTTAGATTTCTGAGCGGGTCCAGGGGGATTCCTGATAATTCTCTAGGGATTCCTACGGAAGTCTTGACGGTTCTCCACGGATTCTTGGCGATTGCTGAAGGACTCCTGAGGATTCCTGAAGGGTTCCTGAGGGTATCCCGAGGATTCCTGTAAGGCTTCCTGATGGATTCCTGAAGGATTCTTCAGGATTCCGGTGTTTCTTACAGATTCCTGAGGATCCCCGAAGGATTCCCGAGTGATTTCTCAGGATTCCCTGCATGATTGCTGAGGGATTCGTGGGGATTATTGGGAGATTCTTGCAGGATTCCGATAGGAGTTTCGAGGATTCCTGAGGGGTGTTTACCATCATCGACGTGCTATAGACGATGCGTGTACGTTGGACATACGTTCTGCATGCGTGTGTGAAGCTGTCTGCATACTTTGCGAATGCGTTTCTTTTAACCCTTCTTATACCCGTCCCATGCGCTTGATACAAGTTTCGTATACATTTCGCAAGCGTTCTTATACATTGATGTCTTGAAGTACTTTGAGCCTACATGAGCCTTCCTGGAGTTTTTCGGACTCGCACATCGTACGCAGTGGAACGATCTAGATCCCACTATGAAAACCTAGTCAGTTCCCTGAGGGGGAATCGTTCGTTTTTCATCGCCAAGACGATCATGCAATAACAAAGCTTTACATCGCTTTGTCCAGTGGTTGGGATCTGGGCCGTTCTGGTTTTCTCACTGGTTGGGAATTGTTCTGTCTGTTTGGGACTTGGACCGTCCGGTTGGGATCTGACCCCATCGCTCCTCCCCCCTCGTCCCCCCCCTCGTCCATCCTCGTTCCCCCTCGTCCCTCCTCGTCCCCCCTCGTCCTCCACTCGTCCTCCACTCCTCCTCCTCCCCCTTCGTTCCCCTTCGTGCCCGCTCGTCCTCCCCTCATCCTCCCTCGCCCCCCCCCCCTCGCCCTCCCTCGTCCTCCCCCCCCCCCCCGGCGAGGAACGCCCTCATGGCGCACCGTGCCTCCGCGGCGGCGTCCGAGGGCCCCGTGCGCGTGCAGGAGCCGCGGAAGGCGCGGCCCGCGCCGCCGCCGGCCCAGGACGCGCGGGCCCGAAGAGGCGAGGCAGTCCCAAGAGGCCTCCAGAGGGCCTCCTTCTTCCCCGAAGGGGAGGCACAGGGCCTCCCATCGTTCCTCCTGGAAGGGCAGCTGCAAGACACGTCGGATCCTTGGTCCTCCTCCTGCGACACATGTTCCTCCACATTCGCCTGCCCGGGGGGAGCGAGGGATCTGGGCCCCCCTAGATTTATGTCGGGCGTGTCCCCCCTACAGGGGGATTTCCGGCCAAAAATTTTTAAAAAAATACCCCTAAACATACCCCCTTATAAGGTCAACGAATACTCCAAACAATAGTTCTCAGGCTATTTTTGGACTATTCTTGGATTACTTTTGGGGTATTTTCTTATTTTTCGTCGAACATCCCCCTGTAGGGGGACAGGCCCGACTTAACCCTAGATCCGAGCAGATGGGGTCGGAGGATCGTGCCGCATCGCCGATGCCTCGACGATGCGGCTCGATGTGGAGCCCGTGTTTCCCCGACGCATCGCCGCTGCATCGCCGATGGCATCGCCGATGCCTCGGCGGCGCACTGGTGATGCGGCGCGATCCTTCGACCCCAGCTGCGCGGACCCCGTCTAGGAGGCCTCCAAGGGAGGGAGGGAGGCGGCGGCGCGTGCAGGCAGCAGCGCCACGGCGCGGGGCTCGAGGGCGGCGCGGCGCCGGGAGCACCCGTCGTACGCTGGCTTTCCGTCAAGGGAGGGAAAGCCACCCCGACCAGGCCATTGGCGTTTACTAAACGGCCCTGGGCTAGTAAAAGCCCTGCCCTGTTCCATTCCTGCCTTGGGTGCGTTTACTAAACGGCCTCGCTTGTCGGGGTGGCCATGGGGCTGGATTTTTGGTATCTATTAAGGTGGGCGTGCCCCTCTACAGGAGGAGTATTCAAGAATAGTCAAACGAGCCGGACAAAGGGCCCAACAGGATATGCAGCTGCGAGCACCGCGAGGGAGACGAGACGAAGGAGAGGGGCGCGCAAACTGGGACGCATGTGGACGCAGCCACTGGAGCCTTCGGTGGAGCTGCCTGTGCGGCCTCGAAACGTGTGAGGGGTGTGCCGAAATGGGCGGCGGGGACGCATGTGGACGCAGCCACTGGGGCCTTCGGTGGAGCTCCCTATGGGGCCACGAAACGTGTGAGGGGTGTGCAGATATGAGCGGCTGGGACGCATGTGGAAGCAACCACTGGGGCCTACGGTGGAGCTCCCTATGGGGCCACGAAACGTTTGAGGGGTGTGCAGAAATGAGCGGCTTGGACGCATGTGGAAGCAACCGCTGGGGAGACATGTGAGGCGTGTGCCGAAATGGGCGGCTGCGACGCATGGTGACGCAGGCACTGGGGCCTTCGGTGGAGCTTTCTATGGGGCCACGCACCGTGTGAGGGGTGTGCTGAAATGAGAGGCTGGGACGCATGTGGACGCTGCCACTGGGGCCTTCGGTGGAGCTCCCTATGGGGCCACGAAACGTTTGAGGGGTGTGCCGACATGGGCGGCGGGGACGCATGTGGACGCAGCCACTGGGGCCTTCGGTGGAGCTCCCTATGGGGCCACGAAACATGTGAAGGGTGTGCCGAAATGATCGGCTGGGACGCATGTGAATGCAGCCACTGGGGCCTTCGGTGGAGCTCCCCATTGGGCCACGAAACATGTGAGGGGTGCGCCGAAGTGGGCGGCTGCGACGCATGGTGACGCAGCCACTGGGGCCTTCGGTTGAGCTCCCTGTGGGGCCTCGGAACATGTGAGGCGTGCGCCGAAATAGCGGCTGGGACGCGTGTGGACGTAGCCACTGGGGCCTTCGGTGGATCTCCTTGTGGGGCCACGAAACATGTGAAGGCTGTGCCGAAATCGACAGCTGGGACGCATGGTGACGGAGCCACTGGGGCCTTCGGTGGAGCTCTCTATGGGGCCACGCACCGTGTGAGGGGTGTGCCGAAATGAGAGGCTGGGACGCATGTGGACGCTGCCACTGGGGCCTTCGGTGGAGCTCCCTATGGGGCCACGAAACGTGCGAGGGGTTTGCCGAAATTGGCGGCTAGGACGCATGTGGACGCAGCCGCTGGGGCCTTCGGTTGAGCTCCCATGTGGCCACGAAACGGTGTACCAGGTGCGGAGGGCAGAGGCAGGGATGGGAGGAGGGAGGAGGGGGAGGAGGAAGGAGGAGAGGAGACTCGGGGCGTTGTCTATTCAAAACGAGGACTTAACACCACAGGATGGTTGGGAACAATTGTCAGGGGACGATTTGTCGTGCTATTTCGACTATTTTTTGGTTTATTCTTGGACAATTTTGGGTCTTTCCTCCAACGTCCGCTTGCAGGTGTACCATTGTGTGCCGAAACTTGTGCACTTGGCCGAGCGGACGCTGCGAGGCTGGACGGTGGCTCGCCCGCGGGCTGCGGCCAACAGGGCCTGGAGGGATGGCGTGCTCAACCCTTTCGTGGCGTGCCTCCCTGCGTGATCGTGTATCCCCGAGCTTAAAGCTTTGGCGGGCGCGCCGGCCGGCCAGACACGCGGCTGCGCAGGGAGGGAGACGGGGATGGAAGGAGGGATAGATGGAGGGATGGATGAGGATGAGGATGAGGATGAGGATGAGGATGAGGACGAGGATGAGGATGAGGATGACGATGATGATGATGATGATGATGATGATGATGATGATGATGATGATGATGATGATGATGATGATGATGATGATGGTGGTGGTTCTGGTGGTGGTGGTGGTGATGACAATGACGCTGCTGCTGCTGATGATGATGCTGCTGATGATGGTGGTGGTGGTGATGATGATGCTTATTATGATGATGATTCTGATGATGCTGATGCTGATGATGATGACGACGATGATGATGCTGGTGATGATGATGATGATGTTGATGTTGAGGGTGGATGGATGGATGAGGATGATAACGACGATGATGATGCTGATGATGCTGATGCTGATGCTGCTGCTGCTGATGATGATGATGCTGCTGCTGATGATGATGCTGGTGATGATGTTGATGGATGGATGGATGAGGATGAGGATGATGAGGATGAGGATTACACAGGGGATGATGAAGCAAATTATGATGATGATGCTGCTGATGCTGATGCTGATGATGATGGTGCTGCTGCTGCTGCTGATGATGATGATGATACTTATGGTGACGCTGCTGATGATGATGCTGATGATGCTGATGATGCTGCTGATGATGATGATTCTGATGCTGATGGTGCTGATGATGATGATGATGTTGATGATGATGATGATGATGATGATGTTGAGGTGATAGTGATGATGATGCTGATGATGCTGACGGGACGACGTTTGCGACGACGACGATGATGATGGTGATGACATAGATGACCATTCTGATGATGCTGCTGCTGCTGATGCTGCTGCTGCTGATGATGCTGATGTTAATGATGCTGATGCTGCTCATGATGCTGACCATGCTGATGATGATGATGATGCTGATGCTGATGCTGCTGTTGCTGATGATGCTGCTGCTGATGATGCTGTCGAAACTGCTGATGTTGATGATGATGATGACGATGATGATGCTGATGCTGATGATGCTGATGATGACGTTGATGGTGATGGATTATGCTGATGCTGGTGATGCTGACGCCGATGACGACAATGACGACGACGACGCCGCCGACGACGACGATGATGATGGTGATCATGATGATGATGATGATGATGATGATGATGATGATGATGATGATGATGATGATGATGATGCTGATGATGCTGAGGATGATGATGATGATGATGGTGGTGGTGGTGGTGATGGTGCTGATGCTGATGCTGATTGTGATGATGATGCCGATGATGATCATGATGCTGCTGCCGATGCTGATGACGATGCGATACCGATGCTAATGCTGATGTTGCTGCTGATGATGATGCTGCTGTGGTAAGGATGCTGCTGCTGATGCTGCTGCTGATGAATATGATGATTATGATGATGATGTTGTTGATGATGATGATGATGATGATGATGATGATGATGATGAGGATGATGATGATAATGGTGATGATGCTGATGCTGCTGATGATGATGATGATGTTGATGATGATGATGATGATGATGATGATGATGTTGCTGCTGCTGCTGCTGCTGCTGATGATGATGATGATGAGGATGATGATGATGATGATGATGATGTTGACGATGCCGATGATGTTGATGATGCTGATGATGACGAGGATGCTGATGCTGAAGCGGATTCCGCTGCTGCTGCTGCTGAGGAGGAGGAGGAAGAGGAGGAGGAGGAGGAGGAGGAGGAGGAGGAGGAG